CACAATTTCCTGATAAATTCAGCTCCTATTTGGCAAGTATCTACTGTTGGGTTTGTGTACACCACAGAGCAGCAGGGTAAGTTATAAAGATGAACAACAGTAATATAAGTTGAAACTTCTCCTCGAAATACTGTGTATCTAATGTATCTTTGAATATGACAGGTGGTCTTAAGAGTTTTAATATAAATATGAAATTAAAAATCTGACAGTGAAATGTCTTACGCCGAAAGTCTCCGATAGATGCTATCTGAAAAATGTGCGTAGGTGGTAAATGGAGGCTTCTTCATATAGGGAGGAAAGGGCTGGTGTTTATTCTCTCTGTATTGTTAATAGCCTCTTGAATTTCAGAATGTTACTGTGGCTGAAATAATGACATTGCTCCTTTGAAAATGCTGACAGTTATGGAAACTGTTGCTATGTGATGACCAGAATGAATCAAAAATGCTTGGCAAACTCCTTTTCAGCTTACTTTGTGATTTCCTGGCTGATTTGAAACCTCCCGCTGTTTAATCCAACCAAAGCCTGTGATTTTCTTTGATTACTACAAATGTAACCCTCTTACACTTAACAGATTTGTCTGTCTTATAGGGAAAAATACATGAATACAACATTCCTAGAAGTTGGTTAAGATAACCTCTTCAAATGTACTCAGAAGATAAGCCCTAGTCTGATTGCATCTTGGAAAAGATGGGTGGTAAAATGCACCCTCTACAGAAATAACATTTCTGATCACTGTTAAACTGCCCAGCTTTTGCATTCTTTGCAGCTATCAGTATAGGCAGGAAAAAAGGAAAACCAGCCATGTAGCCTAGGGATTTGCGGTGTGAATGCTAGTTGATGTAAATAATTTTCAAACAAGTAAAGACTGCAGATGCACATGAAACAGAGTACTATAGAACAAGATGGAGAGAGACTGCAGTGTAGGGTGGAACGGTCATACCAGCTAGTGTATGTAATAATAGAAGCGAGAGAACAACAGCATAAATTAGCAACAGAAGTACAGACCAGAGTCCCAAGCAAAGAAGTACTCTGGTTGTCAGCCTATGCTAAAATCCGTGCCACTAATTTTTAGCTATTATTAGCTACGCTACACAGTCAGTATCTATGTCAACCAGCGCAAGCGTTACAGTCACTCCTTCACTTTGCTTTGGGGAGATAGTTCACAAATCCCCTGGCAGACTTTGTCAGCGCTGCCACAAGAAGAGGTACAGAGACATGCCATACGGTGTCCTGCCTTCTGATTCTGGGACTAGGCTAAGCAGAACAGTGAGAACTGCCTACACCTCTTTATATTGACAAGTTTATCTGTCACTGAGGGATTCCCTGGAATGTGGGAACAAGCGAAAAAATGGGAAGTAGAGATTTAATTTGGACATACAGTGAGGGAATGATGAACGTTCTGCATTTTTACATTTAATCTTAAACCCAGGCCAATGAAAACCCCTACAGGTTATTATTATGTAGTGCCAGCAAAATTTTGTAGAATAAGATTGGCAGTTTCTCTGCACAAGATGTACATAAAATCCTGGTTTATGTTCATATCCAAAAGAAAAACACAGTTCCTTGTTCTGCTAAGATAATTCATTTCTTTACAAACAAAACTTGTTTCCACTAAGTGACATTTCCTGTATATTATTATCATTGTAAGAAAAGTCACCTACAATTAAAATAGTTTTTTGCAACTACTTTATAATCAGGAAGACAAACCCTGTTTGTGTGAAAAATAAAATCTAAACTACCTGCAAAAAAAAAAAATAGATGAAATTTATGTTTTTCATTGCTGGCCTCCCTCAAATCCTTCTACTCTTTTTCACTCGATTAGTATAATTAAATTGCTCCAGAATGTTTTTTGATAAAAGATTATCATCTGAGATACAAATGCCTTCCAAAGGAACTTCTAACAAGACTGAGGTCAATACTAAGTATAAGCTACAAGAAGTTGCTCATTTGGCATTTCTGCAATTTTTATTTCCAAGTATTTTCTTTGAAATATTTATTTTAATGAGTGTAAGACAGCAAACAAACACAAAATACTGTGTTGCTGTAGATCTAGGACACAGAATCTCTTTGGTAGCAGAGCACAAAATAATGAAATATAGAATCCTAAATTACGCAATACTTAGACAAAAGAACAAAGGACGCTTTTTCTTTCAGACTCTTATTTAAAATAAAGTGAAAAAGCTCAAATGGATTTCACTGGACTTTGGGCTAGTCCCTGAGAAACTTCAGCTACCAACTGATTATTATTTCCATCAGTTCCCAGTTCCTTCACAAATCCAAAATAAAAGAGAATTCCTCTTAAAAAAAAATTGTAAAGGGCATGTAAGAAGAAAATTACAAATGATGAACATCAATGAAGGCATGAAGCCAGTAATCAGAAAAATATTGCAATGTTTTCAGTTGTGCCAAAAGGTGATTTGGGAGAACGATTCATTTTATCAGCATGCAACAAGATGCCTGCAATGGAGCATTACAGAGCTGTACCTCTAAAATACCTCTGTGCTACAAACAAGAACCATCTCATCATGGAACTTATGGACATGTTAACTCAGGAACCAGGTGATACTGCTTTTGGGACTCGTTCAAGGTACTGTACTGGGTCATGTACAGACATATCAGCTCATTCAGAAATAGCTTGTCTAATTTGGTGCTGCAGGCCTGTATTTCCTTTCTTTCCATATACGAAACAGGAGTAATAAGTATTGTACGCTACATGATTTTTGGTAACACCCATAAAGTAATATAGTTTATACATAAGGACAGGGAGACAGAGTTTCTTCCCCTGAAGAGATTACAGAGCAAGAAGGAGATTTTGATCTCCCTGCTCAAAATAAAACAGTGCTTTACTTCCCAAATAGGTTGTAACAATGTCCAGTGAATTCAACATGAATCTTTCCATTTATCTCAGTGAGATACAACTCTGAATTCTAGATGCAGTAGCCATTCTCAAGATACTTGTACTAGTCTGAAGAGGTTAAAAAAAAAAAAAAGTAATCTCAAAACTCTTCTTATGTATTTGTGACAAACTTATGCCAACAGTATTGCAAAGCAAATGTTCCCCCAGAGGTACCCAGCACTTCTACACTCCCGAACCTGGAAATGAAAGGGTTTTATTTTTCCTTACATGTGTTGTGATGCATTAGGAAAGAGATGTGAATACTGAGGGGCTGAATCTTCAGGGCCGTGAGGAGCAGCATGGCTTATAACCATCAGTACAGGCCTGTGAGGATACATCTTCTTTGAGATTCTGAAGAAGGTAATACTGTCATTGGTAATCAGATCAGTTAGATAATCCTGCAAGTAGAAGTAAAAGTATAATGAGATACTTGAAAAATAATTTCAAGTTGCGGCGAGAGATGGGACGGGGAAGTCTGAGGTATCATAAGAAACAGGAAAATAGAAGCTACTTCACTCAGAATGGAAGGAGGAGGGAGTACGTTATAGATGGTAAAGCTTCAAAAACTAAAACCAAATCATTCTTTCTTCAATGCCCAGAAACATGAAAAGCAACAACTTCCTCTCAGAAAGGAGTAACATTAAAGAAGATCAAATAGGACTCTCTCTTCCCAGAGCGTGTAAATACATCATGAAGATCACAATACTAAATACAATGAACAAGTATTAATAAAAAAAAAAAGGAAATTACAGGTAAATTTCTTCACTTTTTGGTGTTGATATCTTCAAGGCGTATAGTCTGACCTTACACTACAAAAGTGCTTTGAAAATCCAGATGGCTTGATGTTCCTTTCTCAACCTCACTCTGAACCAGAAGTCGCTAAATCTAGAAGATGTTGGGCTAATTGGACCAAAAAATTCATTCAGTATTACAGACACAGTGACAATCTCATAGATACACAGCTCTTTCAAAGAAATTTCTGAGAATTTAGAAAACTTCCTTTGAAAGATATGAGCTACCTTTCTATTTTCTAAGTAGTATCATCATTCTTCTGATATCTGCTGGAGCTATATGGATTGAAGATGGTATTTTTAATGACAAGTCATGTTCTCTCTTAGGCTGCATCACAGGAAATACTGCAAATATAATCACCCTCAAACATGAGAGGGATATGAAACTGCATCTTAACAAAACAAAACAACTGACAAGTCACAGCTGAACGTAAAAACAGACGTATGGTCTGCCTCTGGTCAAGTGAACAAGAACGAGGTGGTACATACTGGATTGCAACTCCTTTTAAGTACAGCTTTCTGTCTGTGGTTCGGACACTCGCTCCTTTTTACCACTGCCAATCTAAGAAGTCAGCTTGTCATTCATCAAAGGAAGCCTTTTTCATTGATTGTATTTACTTTCTCCAAGTTATTTTCTGTGTATCCCAGAACAAGACTGGCAAAGTCTCCATTTATAATTTTACACATTGGTCCCAACATGAGGCACGTCTGTCCAACTGCCATGATTATGACTGTTACTGATATGACATTTTCACTCATGAAAGCAGGTGTAAATAGGCATCATTCCAACACAGTTAACTGAAGGACCTCCATTCACAAATTATGCCAGGACAGGGAGAATGTACAATAAGCAGACCAAAGCAAAACTGACTTATGAACATACTTTCAATACCTGAGACCACACTCACAGCTGCAAGAGAAGAGTGCTCTCAAAAATGTGCTGACATATAACTAAAATGTGCCTTTCTTTAAGCTGGTTGGTCACTTTCTTAAGCGTGTGACTCATCTTTGATTTAGCCGTTACAAGAGCATAGTTATCAAACTTCATTTTAAAGATGAAGGTTTTTCATTCAACATCGCAAAACCAGTGTTTACCAGGCCAAAAGACCAAACAGAAACATTTCCCTTAATTGATTTCTTTTTTTTTTTTTTTAAAGCTCCAGATTGTTGAGGTTGTGGCAGACTGTGTGAATGCATACAAAACTAAATATTCATCTAAAAAAGTTGTCAGAAACTGAAGAAGAAAAATCAAGGTAGCATATAACCTGCTAGAAAATCTGAAAGAATTTGCAAAAATTTGATTTTCAGAGGTTAAGTGCTTAGCAGTCGCTTTTGAGGACAGAATCAATAACGTTTTTTTCTAGTTTTCCACTGGCACATAATTAACGTTAACTGTCAAGTAGACAGGGTTAAAAAATAACCTGATTTTATTGTTCACTGCTGGAAAATTAAGTTTCCAGCAAGAAAAATGGCAGGAAAGAAATAAAAGTAGTCTTGTATTTCAGCTTCCGCTTGTTCATTTGAACTCCAGTGTTAACATCAACAAGTGCTGTTGCTCCACACACTATCAGCTGTTTCTTACCATAGCTGTGTATTTTGCAAGAATATGAAGATTATCAAAACATTTATATTTTCATCAGACTTTTTTTTTTTTTTTAATTTATCATCAAATTCAGCAAGAAAACCTAAACCAAATGAAAACCTAAACATTTTCAAGTATTGCACGCACAAAACAGAGCTGAGGGTATTGGAACATAAAGTTCCTGTTGGCTCCTCGCTACAACAGGGAACAGTGCCCTATGAAACAGCACCCTATGAATTCACTTGCCTGACATTGTTCCACCTAAGATATATTTGCATCATAACATTTTTGGTACATGGTTGTAAAGATTAGCGCTCTCATTCTTCACAGATCAGAAGGGAAATAAAAGACAAATAATTCTGTACAGCAGTTGCGCCTTCCCCTTAGTAGCTGGTGATAGAAAGGGAAACCCGAGAAGCCTGTTAAGTTTTATCTTTCAACACAAAGTACATTGAATTAAAAATGGCAAATAGGGGAGGGGAAGGGGGAAATCACACAGACATCAACCTTTTACAGGAAAAAACTGGCTGTGAACACATTGCTAATGAAACACAAATATGGAGGCAGGATTTGTGCTCAGTAAGAGAACACAAACCAAATCCCTGTTAAGCAAATACACCTTACAAATTAGTATCACTCCAGAGTGAGTCAACTTTGTAAGTTATACACCACTTAAAAACTACAGCAGTTTATGGAGAAATTTATTTATCATCATACTTCAGAGACAATTCAGGCCATTTTAGGAATTCCCAAAAGCTGGATCCTTTGGAAAGGTGACACCTTTGGCTGAAATAAACACACTCCTGACTGCAAACAGGTAACTGTTTGAGCTGTAACGTGTGCTAGATGAGGAAAAAAGTGATATGGCACTTAATGATGATTATCAAGCATTTCAGTAAATTTGGCCAGGGTATAACAAACTTGCAAAGATATTAAGAAACATATGTGCCTGTAACAATGCATGGAGATATAAACTTAACAGTTAAATTCTTCGCTTGTTCATAATTATCACAAGATATATCAAGATATTATGAATTCTCCATCATACTATGGCTGTGAAACAAGTTCCTTAAACTAACATAAAACGATGGGTCTAGCTGGAGGGAACAGGATTCTTATCTCATTTACGCTTGTGTAACTCCACTGGAGTCAGTTCTATACCAGCGGAATAGATGACAATCAGACTCAGAACATAATAATTAAAGTACAAAGCACAGAAATAGTTATCATGCAGCATTTAAATCCATTTTCACATCTTCATCTCAGAATGCATAATACAGTTTAAGGACATTTTGTTTGTTTTCATTGCTGCTAACAACGTTTTCAGTAACATGACCCTCCCAGAGGGGAAGATAACAAAAGTCCAAACACGACGCCTATTGGGTTGCAGCTTTCAAGTACGAAAGGAATTCTTTAGTTAGACTGAAACCATAAAGTGCAGCTTTCTTGCAGTCATGTCGAAATGTTAAAAAAATAGAAATAAATTAATGGGACCTACCCTGGAGTAGTCATATCCATGCTTCTCCTTCACTCCATTTCTACAGAGTGTGTAGTTGTAAAATCGAGAGTTTTTAAGTAATCCAACCCATTCTTTCCAACCAGGAGGCACATAGGAGCCATTGTATTCATTAAGGTACTTTCCAAAGAAAGCTAGGGGTAGAAAAAGCAGCAGCATAATAAGGCATAATAGAAACTCTTCAAAGACATCAGATTTAACCATATTTCTTCCTGTCTGTTCTGAGAGGGGCTTTGTTTTTTTCATTCTGATACACTTAGGAGAGAAGTTCTGAGTTATAAGTTTGCCTGCATTTCCTTCAGAGCTCCATAATGCAGACCTTTTGATTTACAACCTGACTGCATAGGAGAGAAACTGGACCACAATTACCATTATATTTTCTCTAGGTCTGACACATTCAGAGTCAGAAGAACAAAACAAAGAATACTTAAAATAGTGCCAGTTGCCACATTATCTCACCCTACTCTGAATCACCCAATTTAGCTGTTTTTCATTTTGGTTACACCCACTTAAGCGATCTCCACCTAAGGAACTGGCAGAGGCAGTGAAGTCACTAACAGGAGGCTGGCTTGGGAGAAATTATGACAAATGAGGACCATAAATGCGATGAGATTTTAAACTTGCTGCATAGAAGAAATGAAGCAGCATCCTGTTTGGCAGAGCAAGTGCAGAATGAGTACAAGGATTCTTACAGAATAGAAGGCAGGCATTTGAGCCATCCTCCCAGAAGAGCTATGTATGTGCTAGTCTTGCTCTGTAAGCCACAAGTGTACAGACACAAATTATCTTCCAGAAAATGGTTAAGGAAAATGAAAAGCATAAGATTTCTATAAGAACACAAATTCTTTAAAGGACATGATGTACCAAATGACACTTTCACACTATTCCAGTAAAAACTAAGTAATTTAAAGGGATGTATTTTTCAGTATTAGTTTAATATGTTATATCATCACTATGAAATTACAGGATAAATTATACTGGAAGACTCCATTTGTCTCGCTAGTTTTTTTAAAGCTTAAAGGCAAAATTCTGCTCTTGGGTCTGGAGACTGCCCCCTGATTCAGCATCTGACTTTTCATGATCAGAGCTCAGATCTCAATCTTTGAATGGTCTGGCAATACAAGTTAGCATTACCATAGAGACTAGCACAAAGATCTTTACACTTGTGCCACTTGTCATTGCAAATATTTTTAATCCAGAAGCACATAGTGTCTACAGCATCTCACACTGGCCATCTATCAGTGAATGTGCCTCTATAAGGACAACAGAATATCTAAGATTCTGTTGTTAGACTTAGATTAAACCTCACCTCAATCTACAGGGTTTGAGCACACAATTCACAGTTCCCAGGTTCTTAAACTTTTTTTTTTTTTTTTTAAGCTTGCAGCCTATAGTGTCTGATACTACACCTTCTTGTACTTATATAAATGCAAGGAGCAACACTGTGGATAGAGTAAAACAGGTTTTCAGCCAGCGTAAAAAGGGCCGGCCTCACTGAAGTCAATAGATTTACGTCTATCTTTTGGACAGATATTCAGCCTACTACAAATACACACAGTGAGAAACAGTGACACAAAACATTATGTAAGAGAGCTCCATATCAGTACCCAAAAGTGTTTTCCTTTCTAAAAAAAAATGGGAAGCATTATATTAGCAAAATAATAATATAGTGGAATGGAATTAAACAAATTTACAGGAAGTAAGTACGTTGTGCACTGAACGTCCATAAGATCCAACTCAAAGTGCTTAAGTAGAATGCAAAAGCATATTTTGAATCATCCTCCTCAACAATTTTCAATATATTCAATTAATGTGTAAGGTGACCCAAGAGAAAGTGAACCTTTGAGATCTTTCAGTGTTTCAGAGAGCTAAAAGTGCTGGTCACAGAAGATGTGGAGGGCACATCTATTGGGACACAATTAATAAATTCCTTAAAATTACACTGTGCTTTCAAAATATTTTGCAAAGGTAGATAAGATGTTATGCTATTTTACAGATGAGCCAAATACAAAAGGGTTAAGTGACCAATAAGCATACTGCAGAAAACCATTTGGTTCACTGTGCTAAACCACCTCAGGATGCCTTCTTTAACCAAGCAAAGTAAACCAGCAGCAATGAATAAAGCAAAATCTACTGCGCTGTAGATAAAAACTACCACATTACTGCATTTATACAGCAGTTAGTATTTTTTAAGTTATTTGGCTTTATGAAGAACTTCTAATGTTTGAAGAATGAAAGGCAACTCACAGTGGTTATGGGTAATAAAACGTTACAGATGCACATTTTTTCTTGTCCTAGTAACAAAGACCACAGGATCGAACCACTGACCACTGTCTACAGTAGCAGGTATGCACACGGCAGTCCAAAGCCTTTTGTCCCCCTTTCAACACATTATATCCAAACAGAGATATATTTGGCATTTCTGCTCATGGGAATCAATCCGTTCCTAAAACCTTTGGCTGAGCCAGCTGAAGAACTCAGGAAAGAGGCATTCTGTAAAGAATTACTTCATTGTTATTCTGCAGCGGCATGAAAGGAAAGTCTGGCAGACGTTCCTTCCCACACCTTCTGCATACCCCCCATTGTACGTTCAGGATGTCTTCATAATCTTTCATGGATGTCAAAGTGCTTTAAATAATTTTCTCTGCTGTTTCCAATCTTCCATTTCACATCTTTTTCTTTTCCCCCTCCTTCTCAGCTGTTTAAAGGCTTGTTATTCAAAAATCTTTAAACGTCACTCCTCTGCAGTACAAAATATTGGGTTACAATAAAGGTCTCTTGACACTGGTGAAAGATTTTGATTTTGGATTGCAAAGATTCTAACACAATTTTTCCCCTCATCAGATTAGCTCACCACCAGAGACAGCTACTCACTAGAGTACACAGGCCTTTGGAACATCCAATTTCAAACCACTCCAAGATTTCATTAATAAACATTTGCAGAGGCTGCTCTTTCATATGCTCAGCCATGTTCCTAGATCCAGTCTACAAAGTGATCATCAAAAAACATCCAAGTAGCTGTTTTCAATAAATGCGTTACGAATGTGATTTTCCTTTGCTTTAAATACTACGCAACATAGTTTCTCCTAAGACTACATAAAACAGGATACGCAAGAATTGAGTCCTTTGTACACTGTTACCACTTCCGCAGGGGTTCATAACCTTCTAAGGTTCTTTTCTCAGAGTCTCGCCCTTCGATGATAAGCACCTGGAAAATTCTTTGGTATCGAGCGGAATTTTTACAAGAGGTTTTGTTTTTCAAACTCTTCCTGTAAGGAAAAAAAAAAAAGGCACACAAAAGAATTTTCCCTATGCTATCAGTTAATACAAAGGTCTGCTCTGACTGTAACACACCACGGATATATCAAGGCCACAGTTCACTGCTTAAAAAGCCTATCTAGCATATTGTCAAATGTAGCGCAGAACTATCAAAAGAACGGAGATCAAGGCATCATTTACTGCAACTGGAAATGTTCAAGCTAGTTCTATCATCTGTCTATATCATCTACCAAACTCTACAAGTTTGTTGGGGTTTTATTCCCTTTTTTTAAACACTAATTGTTTTCCTAATACCGACCTAAAAATACTTAACACAACTAAACTGCATCTGCAAAGGACGTTCAAAAACCTTTGCATTTAATTGAAAACAAAGATAATTCAAGATGCATTAATAAAATGATGCAGGGAATCATTCATCCCTTTTTATTCCATATGGACTGCCCAACATTGGGACCTGGACATAACAGACCTTTTTTAGCTCTCAAACTAGAGTCAGGAATGCAGTGGAAGTCAACAGAGATTCACCAGTGAAAACTGCCAGATCAGATTTACAGTCTTTAATTCAGTTTCCTTGACTTGGCAGCTCTGGTTCTGACCATAGTTGGTCATCTGTTTAGACACAGTTTTGTTAACTACTGGCCAAGATCACTTACCGAGTTCACTAATAACCCGTTTAACAGTATGATCATAGGGTTTATGATCATTTTAAATAAAGTGAGAAGGAAATCAAGAAAGGAACAGATGAGAGGGGTACTGGCAATAACTTCCTCACAGTGATATGTTCTGTTGGGAAGCAGCGAAAGATAAAGTTCTTGCTATACGTAAAGCCAAGTCAGACTATGCACTAGAAAAACATTCTCTGTGAAGCAGCACGAGCCTGGCTTCAGGCTCAGGCGGCAGGACCTAATAACCTTTTCACCTGCAAGGAAACTATTGAGAAGACAAAGCCATGCTCTTCATGGTACTGCATGGTGGAAGGACAAGAACGAACCAGAATATACCGGAACAAGTGAGGTTCAGCCTGGATGTAGCGGAAAGCTTTTTCAAAGAGAGTCAAAGAGTGAAACAGGTTGGTCAGAAACACTGTCCAATTCCAATCCTTGGTGTTTTTCAAGACGAGACTAGATAAAGCCCTCAGCAACATGGCCTGGGGCAGGCTTTGAGCATTTCGTGGAAAAGAGACCTCCTGAGGTCCCCTCCAACCTGAATCAGCCTGCAATCCTATGATGGACTAGGTGACTTATGAGGCTGATCTTCAATTGAATATACATGACTCTAGGATTTTAGAATTTAGAAATATATTTGTAAATATTCATGCTCTCATAATAAATTCTGAAGCTGAGAAAAAGTATAATTCAGCTTTTTGTTACTCCTGGACAGTAAGTTCACTCTTTACACCACACATCCCTCCTCCTGGAGTCTTCTCTTTACATCCTTCATGCTACTTACCTCTATCCACCTATTAGCACCCCATTAAACTGCACTTACCACCATAAACATGAAGTTAAATGCATGTTTTAAGCTATTAACCCTCTACATTTAAACATGAATGTTGTGCATTAAGTTCTTGAAAGATATATTTAAAGCACTGTTTTTCTGACATATTTCAACAGCCAAGTCTCCAGGTATTAACTTTGGTTTTGAGCTGTGAGTCTTAGTTACGCACAGGGATTTGTCTACCCCTCTAAATTGTTTTCTTGCTGTATTAGATACCAGTTTTCCCCAGCTCAAAGTTGAACAACTAGCTACATCTGAGCAATCCTCTAGTTTTGGACTGGAGGAAGGGGAGGCATTTGTGATCTTATTTCTGCTGTATATCTAGCAAAAATTACTTTCAGCAATTGTCCTCTAAGAG